AAATAGTAAGACAAATGGGAAAAGTTCAATTTAAGATGGCGAACATAGCTTTATATCTAACAACAGAGCGAATGATAACGCTGTAACCCTTTTCTAATTTACGATGCAAAAAATAATATTCATAGCCATAAATTTTTCAATCTGATGCGATATGGAACCCACAAAAAATTTCGGCACTAAAATTCTGTCTTATTATATCAACAACAATGGCTCGCAGTTTTTAATGATTTTCGTCTTTCTAATCAAATGGTCATAAAAGCTCAAGTTCTATTCAGTTTTTCACCTATATACAATTTTAGTCGATTAAATGTGGCAAAAATGGGATCACAGTTAATCAGAAATCAATAACGCGAACAAACAAGCACACAAACAGACATTTCTTCCTTATACTCGTATATATAAATTTTGTAAAACTTATGAATTTTTGATTAACAAAATCTACGATTTAAAAGCGAGCAGTAACAACACTTTTCGAAATAAAGCAATTTTATCTCCAACGCGGGAGACTGTTGCCACCTGGAAAAAATGAGTGCGAAAATTAATGTTTTTGGAGTTTTTAATTAATATCTCGTCTGAATAAAGTCGTGCGAAGATGGGAATAGTCGAAATGGCTTCCCACGAATTTTTGCTATCGGGAATAATGTATTTAATGTTTGGCGATGCTATTTTTATTTCATAGTAAAGCTTCGAAATTTTTTATTAAGAAACCCTAGGATTTGAAAGCGATCAGTGGCAACGATTTTCGAAATAAAGCAGATTTTCATCTGCAGCTTGCGGGACTGTTGCCACTGAAAAAAAATGAGGGCGAAAATGATCTTTGTTCCGTGCTTTTAATTAATATCTATCTTTGATTTTAGCTTTTTTTTTTACGTCGACTTTTTATAGGATCCAGAAAATAATTGTATAAAATTTGGTTGGTGACGATAGCTATAGTAATAACTGAGTTATTAGAGGACAAACAAACATCTTTTCTTCTTTATATATTACTAGCAGCTTCGCTGCCAGCCTTCGTCTGGCTTTTAAATGTACCGGAAAAATGGCTGAACGAAACACCATACGTTAAATTTAAAAACTGCGTAGAATTTTACTCTGCAGAACAACAACATAAAAAAAGGTTATTACGTATAACAAAATTACAATGAAATAAGCAATATCCCTTAATGCAAATATTAATTATCCTAATAAATAAATTAACCAACTTCCCTTTGCAAAATCTTAAGAACTCAAATGGTATAAAGGAGATTAAGAAGTTCGTTTCCTAAAAAAATCACTCAAAACATTTCAATATCTTAAAAACAGTGAAATGAGCAATAAATAGCATAAAAGAATACAAAAAACAAAAAATTCTGAAAAGCAAAGTATAATTAATGATATTTTATCTTATATTTTCAAGAGAAAAATATTACAATGAGATAAGCTATATCCCTTAATACAAATATTAATTATCCTAATAAAAAAATGAACCAACTTTGAAGAAAAAATCATGCAAAACTTTTCAATATCTTACGAACAGTGAAATAAGCAAAAAATAACATGAAAGCAACTCAAAAAACGTAAAATTCCGCGCAGAATTTTACTCTGCAGAACGAATTTATAAAAAAAAAAGAAAATCAATAAAAATGTATTATATAGTGTTACGAATTTGGTATTTAAAAAGCTAATGTTTGTTCAATTATAAATTAAATGGTTTTATTTCCCGCGCAGTGCAGCGCGTGACGAATATTAAAAGAAAGCTAAGCCGGAAAATTGAAAATACAAGAGCGCGTGCATTTAACATTTAATAAATATCTCTTTTTGATTTCGAGAAAGTACTAGAAAATTCTCGCACGCGATTTTAAAATCTTATAAAAGGAGGAAAACCTCTCAGTTCGATGTAGTTACTTAGTTTGTTGTTGTTTAGAAAACTGCTCTTGTTGACTGTATAAGTTCTATTGAACGTTTCAGTAGTTAAAAGATAACTACTGTGAGATATTGTAATACTGCACGATAATTTGAGGAAATTTAAGCATATTTGTTGTGATAATAATAAATTTTTGTTCATTTTTCATCGGACTTGTGCATTCATTTCGTAACGAACCCGTACGCACGCAACAATATATATAAAAATTACAATGAAATATGACAATCTCTTAAAAACAGTGACATAAGAAATACGATGAAAAATTGTTGCCAAACCCATATTTTTAAAAGAATGAAACTATTCAAAATGATGCGATTTCATCAACAATCTATCAACAAAAATAAGACAGGAAAATTGTTGCCAAAATCACATTTTTAAAGATGTGAGATGTGAAGTGTACTCGGAAGCTTCATTTAAAAATTTTTTTTAAATACAAAATATTATCATTTTTCCAAAATTCTTTTTGTAAAAGCAGTCGCAAGGATGAAAGTTTAAGGTGTCCAAAAATGAAAGAAAAATAAGCTATACATTTTTAAAAATAAACTTTTTTAGAAAAAATCCCGTTGAAAAGGTGTTAAGCTCCCTTTGTTAAATAAATTCGTATTGGATCGATTTATTGAAACACGAAATTTATTTTAAGTTCGTAAAATAGCTAAGTGCCTACGTTTCATGACGATGTGAAAATGGAGCGGGTAGAGTAAAATCTCGCTGTCCTATAGCGCATTATGTTTCAAAATGACGCGATTTCGTCACAAAACATGAAATTAAAAAAATTCTAATTCGAATTTCGAAAAAATCGCTTCGAGGTGCACTGGCTGTTGTCTAGATGCACCTATGTACCAAATTTCGTAGCCGTGGGTCTATTAGCTTACGCGCAACGCGACAGACTATCTGGGTATACCGGGCTTCGCTCAGGGAATTGATGTGAATTTGTGTGGTAGTTGACATGAAAGGATAAACTTTAAAATACAAGAGGTAATTTTTTTTATTAAAAACATATTCTAACTATTTAGAAAGCTTGTTTATAAACAAAATTTTTCATTTTTTCATCCGGCGTATATATGTACAAATTTTTCGAATTTCCTACTCGAGAGCAAGCTAGGTATATCTGACCGTAAGAAAAGTACGAGTCTTTGCGGTTGATGCCGCCATGTTTAAAAATTTGTTCTTGCACTTTGTTAATTGTAAAACTATAGGCTAATTTGATTGGAAATTACAATTTTTTAAATTGGAATGGCAGTTCAGTAGATATCAATGGTATTATGGAGATAAATACTGTATGTTCTTTGTCCTTTCCAGTCATAAGTTCGGTTTCCATGATCTTATTCGATAGCTGTTTGACGACCATCGTTGTATTCCAGTATTTTCAAAAGCACATAGTTTCGGTGAGTTGAGATTTCTGTGTAGTATCATCGGAGATCCAATTTTCAGTCGAAGACAGTGTAATGACATTCCTGGTACTTGCAAAGAGTTTAAAAATTCTGTGGGGAAGTTAATACTTTCTTCGACGTTTACCATCGTGTCAGTCGATTTGTATATTCCCCTTTCGCCGGAGTCCCACCCATACAAAAAGGGCTTCGAATGGTCCACAATGTTCCAGAACATTTCACAACATTCGAGAGTGTTGTGAAATGTTCTGGAATATTATGGTTCTGGGATGTTCCACGATGATCTGGGATGTTCCCAAACGTTCCAAACTATTCCCAAACATTCCAGTCAGAACATTCGAGAGTATTCCAGAATGTTCCAAGATGTTGTGGAACGTTTTCGAATGCTCTGGATTGTTCTAAAAATTTCTAGAGGGCGATGTTTCCAGCCCTTAGATCTTCAAAAGCACGCTCTTCAGGTAAAAACGGGAACCTTCTCCATGGATTGGGCATAGAGGCCTGCCACACTATATAACTCCCTTGATCGTATCAAGACTCCTTTCCGAGGTTTAGCTGCACGCACATTGTACACTTACTTTGTAGAGACATAACGTTATCGTTTGAAAGCAGGAGAGACGAAAAATGAGCAATGCCTTCACCGGGACTAACCACTAACCCAGGGCCGCCGCTTGGGGGTGGCAAAATTGTTCACCGCACAAGGGCGCCTGGGCCAGTGGGGTGAAAAAATAGATTCTTATCACAAGAAATAAAACACAATGCTAGATTTTTCCTCTTAGATATGGGTACAATATCACAATATCATACAATATTATACAATAGTTACATTTTAAACTACTAAAACATCAAATAAAACGCAATCCAAATCTCAGAGAAAACTAATCCGATATCACTGCAAATTCGCTACAGTCAACAAAACAGTTATGTAAACAACTGAACTGAGATATTTCTCTACAGCGTCTTAAAACTTTTTAATCCTGCACCAGAAGGTCCTGGTAATTTCCGTTCTCTCGAGATTTCTGTAAAGCAAAAGATTAGAATTACGGTCACAGCTAACACAGTAATCAATTACATTGAGTTTAAATATACTCGTAAATTACCAGATATCTATTATTAAATGCGCGTGCTCCAGTATTTTTACTTTTTCGGCGGCTCTTAAAACTCGTCACGCGCTGCATTCCCCTGGGAAATAAAACGATTTTAATTACATTTCTACTAAAAATTGCTAACTAAATACAAAATCCGAAACAATATATTCGTTATTCTCTCCAGATCTAGGTGTCATATATTATTGTGTTGTCTTATTCATCTGTATTACAGATCTTATCTTTTCTTAAATAACAATAAACTAATCATGGTTATAAAAAGATAAAAGCAGTTCTGTCAGGAGGAGTACGTCCAAGAGCAGGCAGGTAAACCGCGAGCTCAGCGGCATCAGAAAAAAACCTTAACAAATTCCCTGATGCGAAGCTACAATCTAAATCCTTCTCCCTCTAATCTAATCTAAATTAATCTAACCCTCTTCTCCTCTTCTCCAAAGGCAGATGCGATATTTATCATTTATATGTTACAATATTATTATTTACAATATTACAACTACAACATTAATATTTACAATTATGGAATGGCGGGCCGCGAGCGGCACGTGGCAAAATGGCAGGTCTCAAATGGCACGTGGGCCCTGAAGCAAAATTATTCTGTCCACGCACGAATATATGTTTCGTCATCCTGCTCCTCCTGCTGCTCCTCATCTTGCTCTTCCTCCTGCTGAGCTGCAAGAGCTCCTCCTCCTCCTGCAAGTCGGCGGAGCAGCAGGAAGAAGAGCAGCAAGACGAGGAGCAGCAAGACGAGGAGCAGCAAGAGAAGGAGCTCCTCTTCCTGCAGCTCCTCCACCAGCTCCTCCTCCTCTTGCTCCTCATCCTCCTGCTGCTCCTCTTCGTACTACTGCTACTCCTCTTCCTGCTGCTCTTCCTCTTGCTACTCCTCTTCCTGCTGCTCCTCCTCTTGCTGCTACTCCTGCTCCTCTTCCTGCAGATCCTCCTGCTTCTCCTCTTGGTGCTGCCCCTCTTCCTGCTGCTCCTCTTTCTGATCCTCCTCCTGCTGCTCCTCCTCGTGCTGCTCCTCTACCTGCTGCTCCTCCTGCTGGTCTTTCTGCTGCTGCTCCTCCTCTTGCTGTTCCTTTTCCTCTTGCTGCTGCTTCTCTTCTTGCTGCTCCTCTTTCTGCTCCTCCTCTTACTGATCCTCCTCGTGCTGCTCCCCTTCCTGCTTCTCCTCTCGGTGAGGAGCAGCACGAGGTGGAGCAACGCAAGGAGGAGGAGCAGGAGGGGGAGTATCAGAAAGAGCAGCAGCACCAGGAGGAGCAGCAAGAGGAGGACCAGCAGGAGGAGGACCAGCAAGAGGAGGAGCAGCAGGAGCATGCGCATTTAATAAATAGATATCTGGTAATTCATATTTAAACTGAATAAATGAAACTGTGTTAGGTGTGTATTAGTAAACTGCGTTAGTTTGTATTAACTGTGTTAGTTTGTATTAGTTTGTGTTAGTAATTCTACTCTTTCGCTTTCCAGAAATCTCGAAAAAACGGAAATTACCAGAACCTTCTCGTCTATATATAAAGAAGAAAGTCTGCGTGTTTGGTTATCGTCTAATACCTCAGTCTATAGCTCAGTCTCAGTCTAATAACTATAGCTATCGTCACCAAACTTTCTACAATTCTTTTCTGGGTCCTGGAAAAGATCGACGTCCACTTTTTCCAAAAACAAATACCTAAAATCAGAGATGTTAATTAAATTCTCGCAAAAAGGATAATTTTGGCCTTTATTTTTCCGAGTGACATTAAATACCATATTACCGGTTCCAAGTTTTTTTTTTTTTTTTTTTTGAATGTGAGCAGAATAATGAAGGAAGTCTGCACCTTCAGTGTCTTTTTGCCGAGGGAGACGAAAAGGAAACTCTCAGTTTTGCGCACCGAAAGCTCTGCCTTCCTGCCTGCTGGCGAAACTGCTTGTTTTTGCGTAGAAGCTCTAATTTTAATTGTAAAAAAATTTTTTTAAATTGTTTTAATGGTGTTTTTTTTCCCTATAATTCTCAATTTTTAATAAAGATATTTTGAGGTGTTATGTATTTTTGCCTTGACGCGAAGTGAGAACTGAATTAATTGAATATATTTCTGAATATTTTTAATTTAATCTTACTAAATAAATGTTGTTAATTATACGCTTGCAATTTTGCATCATATTTCCTATTTTCTAAGCAATAAAATAAGATTTTAATTTTATTTTACTGTTGTTTTCGTTTGTGCGGGTTGTTTTCGTTTGTGTAAAACAAAATTTGATTGCCTATATGAACAATAAAAACATGTTCCTTGTGTATTTCGCGCTACCACACGTTCCGTGTGGTAACTATGGTACTTAAAAATCTAAGAATTTTTAGCATTTTAACAACACGAATTGGGAATGTTTTGTATCAGCATATATTTATTCTTTATGTGCTGAGAAGCTGTTGCACCTCAACGTCGTTGTTTAGTTTTTTTTTTTTTTTTTCAATGATAATATAACGGGTGGCCATAATTAAACTGACAGTGCTCACAGTGTTCTGTAGCACGATCTATTTGCGAGAATGACGCCACATTTTGTAGGAAGATTAAACAAGACGGGTGACGAAGGATTCCGGAAAAAAAAAATAAAAAAAATAAAAAAAAAAAATAAATTCCAAAAGTCACCGCTAGGGGAATATTTGGCGCTGTGTAACAGAAAATAGAGTGTTAACAAATGCAAATCAATACGGAAATTACCTTTTACTTTGCATTCAAATGAGGCTGCCGTTGTTGTGGACCACATATTGCATTCTGTGCACAGTATGCACAACAGCAGAAAGTAACATGTCTGCAGGAATCTCCCGTACAGACCGTGATATGTTATCCTTCAACGTAGCCAGGTCCTGGACCACTCCTTGATAGACCTTGACTTAAGGTAATCCCATAGCCAGAAGTCGCAAGGGGTAAGATCAGGCGACCGAGTTGGCCATGCAGTTGGAAAGTAGCGGCTAATGACTCTTTCTGTTGTGAATTTCTGTCGTAGCATCTGCTGCACCCGTACAGGAACGTGTGGAGGGGCTCCATCTTGCATGAAAATGATTTTCCCCAGGCATTGTCTTTGCTGAAGTGCCGCAACGACGAAGCTGTTCAACATGCGACGATATTTCTCTCCAGTAACAGAACAGGTTTCCGGTCCTGTCGGGGTAATGTTCTCACAAAAGAATGGACCTACGATAAATTTTATTCCGCATTAATTAGCATTGTTAACACTCTATTTTCTATTACACAGCGCCAAATATTCCCCTAGCGGTGACTTTTGGAATTTATTTTTTTTTATTTTTTTTATTTTTTTTTTTTTTCGGAATCCTTCGTCCCCCGTCTTGTTTAATCTTCCTATAAAATGTGGCGTCATTCTCGCAAATAGATCGCGCTACAGAACACTGTGAGCACTGTCAGTTTAATTATGGCCACCCGGTACATACATTTTTTAAATGTGGCAACCAAAAGTCGCCATTCAAAATTATTATTGTATTCTCAACTTAAATGTATTTTCATCAGCTTAACGCCGCATGTATTTTGCCATTTTTCATTTTCTATTTTTTCTTTGTTTTGTGTGTTTAATTAGTATTCTTTCTCGGTATTTTCACATGTGGTAAGACTACTCAGCCATGGGCTCGCTCGACCCTCTGACCTTTTCTGAAAAACTTTAGTGAGGTAAACCAGATACCTATCGCAGTTTCCAGTTTACCAGTTACCCAAAAAGGGCCATGTGACGAATTACGAAATACTGATTCTTATATTCAAGGCCTACACGTACGTTTCCTCAAAAAAAATTATAAAACTGCTTTAAAATGAATTCTGAAGAGAATTTTTCGTGGCGTCTGTACGAACGTATGTACGTACGTATCTCGCATAACTCAAAAACGAGTAGCCTCAGAACGTTGAAATTTTGTATATAGGACTGCTATAACATGTAGATGTGCACCTCGTATTTTGGTCGCAATCGGCAGCGCCAAACGTATATAAATATATTTATATATATATCCACTCTCTTACCCGACTCAGTGATCTCAGTTTCTTTACTCTTATATGTTTGTAAATTGCACATTTTTTTGCTTTAAAAATGATTGAATTAAGTTGTTTTCATCTTTCGGTTAAGGTTTCTATGCCTTTAGTAAATCTGTGTGCAATATTTTTTGAATTATCAACAATTTTAAAGTTGTTTAAGTGCCGCTAAGCCTTTTCTTTTGACGGCGGCCATTGATTGTTTACATTTGAAACAACATACTAGTGGATTTGTTGCCAATCCAGAGTAACTTAGCTTCCAAACAACAAAGATAACGCCTTCATTTATTATTGCCATTTAAATCATCTTTAATCCATTCTGGAATTTATTCGTGGAAATAAATGTTTAAAATTTACTTCGTAATTTTGAATATAGATATTTTGAGCGAAATACTTTAAATAGTACTTGACTTTCTCTGAACATTTCTGAAAGGGAATAAAGTATTATTTAAAACTTGTAACTGAGTTATTATAAAATGTAAAGGGAAGAATTCTTTTAATTATACTTATTAGATTTTTTTTTACCCTTCATTTCAACAATACATATTCCAAAACTCTTTATTACGTTCTTAAGTGCGCATCTCATAGCATTTGCTTTACAATACCTTTTAACAGATTGCTTTCCAATGCGAACAATTCTTGCTTAAATAGTTTTATAACGTATTTGTCAACAGGATTTCAATTTATGTTTACAATTCAATATTAAGGTTATGATATATTTAGATAACATTTATAATCATTATAAATTAGATACATTTAAAAATTAGATTTCTTCACAGTACTTTCACAGTTGTTTATAAGTGAATAAATTCTTCATTTCAAATACATTTATAAATAATTTAATGAATATTTATGTATTTTGTCAAAGGTAGATACATGTTTTTTGAATAAAATGCAACAATGGTATATGGATGTGAAAAAAATTTGTTTTATTTAAAACATTTTGGCGTTTGGAAAATAAAATAAAAGTAGCGAATACTCTATCAAGGGTATCGAAAGACGTATACAATTTTAAATGTACCGTAAGGTATTTTTCATTCTTTAACATTTTTCTTAAAATCTATATTTTTGTAGTTCAACAGCTTAGAATTTTATAAAACAAATTCATAATCAAAATCGCGCTGTTGTTGGTTATCGAAAAATAACCAAGATGTCATTTTTGCGTAAATGTCACTAAACTATACAAATTGCTATTATCCATCACGCTATGAATGTTTCTTTCATGCGAAAGTGTCCCCCTTTTTCGATTTGTATGGAACTGTCGTGTGTCGAAATACTATCAGAACCGTGTCAAGCGAGCTTCTGAATGTAAACAAAGAACACCCCATCTGGTGACCCAAGCTTCAAAGTAGTGCTTCACTTCTAGTGCCGACTGGCCTCTCCTTCCTTTCCTACCTCCATGGTGTAACGTGTATACGAGCCAGTTTCCCATAGCAAGTCCTCCCCGACGGCAACCCTCCCCTTAGGCAGATAGCCCTCGAGGCTTTGCCATAGTTACCCGAACAAACAAACAATTTCTATAACATTTAGAGATTATTTAATTGAAAATGGCCCTCCCCGCTTGATAACCAAACATTTCCCGAGAGCTAATTCTGGCAGAAAGTTTTCAGAATCGTTCTATTATAGAACATTACCGAATGGAGAAAATGTATTTAGAAATTATTTAGTATATTCAAATTCCCGAAACGCAACTTTTTGCTATTATATGTAAACTATTCAGTGAGAAGCATTCACCGCTTATTAAGGATGGATGTAATGATTGATCACATTTAACCCACATTTTGAAAATACATGAAAGCAGTGCATCTCAGCTTAAACATAGTTCAAAATGCAGTGAACTTAAAATGTCTTTGAGTAACTTATGTTCTATAGATCCAGCTCAACAAAGACTTTATGACGCAGAAAAGGTTTACTGGCAATCGGTTGTTGAACGGCTTTTTTATTTAATTCAATGTTTACCCCGGCAATGGCCTGCATTTAGAGGCTCTTCGAAAGAGTTGTATCATAGTGATAATGGAAATTTTTTGAAGTTCGCTGAAACCATAGCAAAATTTGATCCAATAATCGATGAATATCTCCACAAAATTCAAACATCTCAAAAGCAGAACATTGCTCGTTACTTAGGGGATTAAATTCAGAATGAAATTATAAGCATTATTTCAGAAACGAAATGTAAAGGCGCGGTGAGATGGCTTCCCCACAAAGCAGTTTTAGGGTTGCCATAAAATGGGCAAAGAAAGGAAGGGTTGCCATATTTGCCGAGAAATCGTCCATTTGGCGGTATTTGGCGACATAATTGGCGATATACCATG